CAACTAAAATCAATGATACAATCAACTGAAATCAATGATACAATCAACTGAAATCAATGATACAATCATGTGGAGGCAGAATAGGCTTGCTTAAAAAGAAAAGTCTTTAAGCCTTTTTTAAAGTCAGTCAATGATTGTGGAGCTCTCAGATATTCAGGGAGGGAGTTCCAGAGGCGGGGGGCAGCCACACAGAATGCCCGATCTCCCATGGTTCTTAATTTAGTTCGTGGAAGGTGGAGGAGATGACTGTTCTGTGATCGTAGGGACCGGGTGGATGAATATGGAGCAAGAAGGTCCTTCAGATAATCTGGTGAATTTCCGTAGAAACACTGACGGGTGATGAGAGCAACTTTGTACTGAATTCTGTTGGTGACAGGAAGCCAATGGAGGTTATGGAGAATGGGTGTAATATGTTCAAATTTACAAGCTCTCAATAAAATCCTGGCTGCACTGTTTTGAATATATTGAAGCTTCTGAAGGTTTTTGCCGGGTATTCCAGTAAACAGGGAGTTGCAGTAGTCGAGCCTGGAGGAGACAAAAGCATGGACGAGTTTCTCTGCATCAGCAAAAGTGAGAGATGGGCACAGTTTGGAGATATTTTGAAGATGGAAGAAACAAGTTTTAAACGGATGCTTAATGTGATTTTCAAATGTAAGATGAGAGTCCATTTTTATTCCAAGATTTGTAACAGAGGTGGAGAGGGGGATGTCTTGTCCAGAAAAGGAAATAGTCATTATAGTTGAAGTTTGAACCTGGTGAGGGGTGCCAATCAGTATGGCCTCTGTTTTGGAGCAGTTTAACTGAAGAAAGTTCTGATTCATCCCAGTGTCAGCAGCAATGAGGACATCATTGGTGACTCTCAGCAGTGCGGTCTCAGTACTGTGAGCTGCACAGAAGCCAGACTGAAACTTCTCATACAGGGAGTGTTGTTGTAGGTGGATCTGCAGCTGAGCAGCAACTGCTTTCTCCAGCACTTTTGACAGAAATGGGAGGTGATAAATTGGGCGATAATTAGAAAGAATGTCTGGAAAGAATGTCATGAGTCTGTAGTGAGCAGATAGTATGAATATAGCAGCTTATGGGTAAGAAATCAGCAGCATGGATAATCAGCAGCAAAAAAGTGTCAAATGTCCAATTAGCGTGCCATTACATTGATTTGTCTGGTTAGAGATTCATGAGTCTAACAGCCTCAGGGTAGAAGCTGTTCCTCAGTCTAGTGGTTCTACACTTAATTCAATTCAATTCAAAATACTTTATTAATCCCAAAGGGAAATTATTTCTTGTTATAACTCATTATCCTCATTTCATTAAGAGATGTTATAGTTGCTGATGGCTGTAGACAGGAAGGATCTCTTGTAAAGGTCCATCCCACAGTGGATCCTAAGAAACTGGCTGCAGATGTCGTCTGATCCGTCCACCCAGACTCGGCTGGCCTCTTGGTTCACCCGGGCTTTAGGACCGCCCGGATGCCGGGCAGAACTCCTCCCAGAGCGATGGCCACTCCTCCCAGCAGTCTGCCGAGCTCCTCATTGCTGTGGACAGCCAACTGTAGGTGTCGAGGGACGATCCTGTCCTTCCACTGTCATGAGCCGTGTTTCCTGCCAGTTCCAGGATCTCAGTGGTCAGGCACTCGAGCACAGCTGGCAGGTAGATGAGAATGCGTCCACAGAACATCCTTTCAACTCATTTGAGATTTGGGGCTGTAGTTGAGATATTATTTGAGCTTTTCAGATGTTAATCAGCTGCTGTTGGTTGTAGAAAACTGCCTTGTTGCCATGGATACGCATCATAACAAATGTCTTAAACTAAAAAAGTTTTAGTAAAAATCCTTCCAGCTGCACAGCATCTGATACCAGAGGAAACAATCATCCAAAAAAAAAGTAATTTAATTTAATTTAATGCTCCTTAACCTCCTTCCTCAGGGAAGCGGGGCAAAAATTGTGTGCTGGGTGAGTGGGGTCCTTCATGATGCAGGTGGCTCTCTTCCTGCATCTAGAGGTGTAAATGTTTGTGAAGGTGTGGAGACTGATTCCAACAGTCTTCTGTGCAGCCTTCACCACTCTCTGAAAAGCTTTTCTTTCTGCAGCTGTGCAGCCTCCATGCCACACATTGATGCTCGAGCACAGGATGCTCTCCACTGCACACCTGTAGAAGGAGGTGAGGACTGAGCTTCCCAGACCAGCTCTTCTCAGCCGCCTGAGGAAGTAGAGTCTTTGATGAGCTTTCTTGATTAGGCTGGAAGTGTTGGTGCCCCAGCTGAGGTTGTTACTCAGGTGCACACCCAAGTACTTGTAGCTGGAGGCCACTTCCACCACAGATCCTCTTATGTTCATGGGGGGAATAGGTGTGTTTGTTCCTTCTGAAGTCCACAACCATTTCCTTCATCTTCTTCACATTGATGTGAAGGTTCTTCCTGCACCAGCTCTCCAGGTGTTCCACCTCTTGCCTGTAGCTGGACTCATCATTGTTTGTGATGCATCCCACCACCGCTGCATCATCTGCAAACTTTACAATATGACAGCCTGGATGGGTAGGTGCACAGTCATATGTGAGCAGAGTGAACAGGAGAGGGCTCAACACACAGCCCTGAGGGAAGCCAGTGCTGAGGGTTATGGTGGAGGAGGAGAAGTTGTGGATCTTAAAGTGTTACAGTTGCATTTTACACCAGGATGGAAGCTTTCATTATGACCAAACATTTGACCTGACAGTACCAAATGTCCAGGTCCAAAAACAAAGCAGATAATCATTAATTATTATTAAAAACTAGTCAAAAATATTTCTACACAGCTCAGTGGTCACATGGTCACAAACACTCATTCACCCGTTTTGTTACATTTTTTCCAACAGTTCTGAGTTGCCAACTTGACACCAAACATTGCAGTCTGCAGCGAGATATGACCTTTTAGAGTATTAACTGGACTTGGATTAGTTGCTTCCAGTATGTTAATTTTCTCAACTGCTTGTAGTTTTTACTGTTTTTATTCTCACAGGTTGTTGTCCCATGTCGCAAAGCAAAAAAGGGTGAATTGGAAATACCCTCCATCAGTCCATCTGTGCATGTTGTGAGCATGATGACTTAAAAATATTTGAGGTACCAGCTTACATGTGGGTGTGTAGCTGCATCTAGGTGTAAGAAAGTTGGATAACTTGAAAAATTTGAGACGTGTAGACTGTTTTGTAGATGCATCTAGATTTAAGTAAGATCGCCTTAAAAACATTTGGTTGCCGTGACACACCGGCTGTCCCCTTCATTTGAGTAGTATACTTACTATTTTTATATTGGCTGAAGATTAATCCATAGTGGCTAAAGCCACCATTGGCCACCCCCTGGCTCCACCATTGCGCCTGGTGGTAGATAAAATTGCTCCCTATACTCGCCAGGATCTGTCACTGTGCTGCCTCAAACAAGAAAAAAACAATACAGCTGTCCCTCGTTTATCACGGGGGTTCCGTACCCTGAAGCCCCACGATAAGTGAAAAACCGCGAAGTAGGGATACAGTAGTCCAAGTTTACGTTCAAGTACAGTAAACTTTATATTAAGGCTTTAGAAACTCTTTCCAGACTCTTAGAATGTTCTAAACTCTTAAACCTACATCATTTTAACAACATATGTTAGTAAATTTTACTTACTAGCTCTGCAGAACAGCAACAGTGCTGGTTCTGGTCCAACTCTGTTTTATTCCAACTCGGTTCATTTCTGCAGACCTGTCCTGCTGCAATGAAGCCCACAATCAGTCCTCTAAACTCTTAAACCTACTAATTTGAAGAACACACAGTAATTATATGTACATGAGCTACAAAATTTTACTTACCAGGCTCTGCAGAACAGGAGTGGCTCGGTTCCGTCCGACCCGATAGATGAAAAAAGTCCCAGTACAGCATGACTGAAGCCCACCGCTCCATCCAGCTTGATGTGCTCGTGCTGCTGCCCAGGATTTAATCCACCACCTCTGGCCCTGTCCGGACCAGAACCGCATGACCAGAACCTGACTGAACCCTGCAGCCATCTGCAGCTCCCAGGATCCGGGTCACACTGAGTCCAGATCAACTGCAGCCCAGTTACTCAGCAGTGAAGAGACAACTTGAAGGATGAGTTCAGCTTCAGGATTATTGGAGACGTTCCTGCCAGTTCTGTGAGCTTATCCTTACAGAACCTCTGACTTTGCTGAAAACCTTTCTCTCCGTTTGCAAGCAGTGGTTGAAAGAGCAGTGTTGACTTCCGAGAAATGATGGCTTCTGGGTAACGTAGTTCTTTAGACTGGCAAAACAGTGACGGCTTAATGAAAGAAAACTACAAAATGGTGGTGCTTTTTTTGTGTGTGTGTGTGTTTTGATGGGGGGGGGGGGGATATTACGTACATGTACAGTACTTAAAAAAACCCGGATAGAGCGAGTCCGTGATAAACGAACTGCGAAGTAGCGAGGGACAACTGTATAACTATTCTTATGCAAAGTGTACTTCCTACCCACTTAAATATCTTGTCTCAAAACATTGTTTACTTGCATTTCCTGTTCACTTTCAGTCCAGAAAGTCACTCATCTCAAAAACTACAAGCATTCACTGTTCAACTCCCTCAGTGACTGGAGACATCAGTGTACTGCTCGTATTCTGGTAGTAATTCTTCATACATGTGGCACTCAGTACTTCATGCTTACATTTCTTTACATTCAGGCATTTTTCTGTTTGTACTTCTGCATAAAATAGTAGTGTTCAAATCTTAGAGAAAGGAAATGATAAAACCAGTTTGAGTAAATATCAGTATGAGAACAGTTGCATTAACCAACCTTCTCCTGTGTGAATAACTGATGTATCCTCTTGTATCAGGCCTCCTCCCTGCAGCAGTACCGCAGTAGGGTTGGATCATCGGCCAATCAGTCTCCAACATCTCCCATCTCCAATCAAGGCTTCTCACCTGGAGGTTCACCTCAAGTAAGAGCATGTGAGCCAGTGAGCTGCAGGCTCGTTTTGTTCTGACACCACCGTCCATTCCATCGCAGTTCTGTGGGTGTCGCTGGCGAGTAGGGCTCTGTGACTGCCCCATGCACTGTTGTTCATATTAGCAGATCTGGGCAATGTATATATAGTCTGTAGGTCCTCCCCCAGAAAATTTTTAATAAAGTAAATGCCATTTCCTGCATTTTCGTGTACCTAACACTTGATTCAGTAACTATTTTAGAGAGCAACAACAACAGTCCTCTCCTTCTGTGTCAATGTGTGTTCGACTGTGTGTGTGTGTGGGGGGGGGGGGGGGGGGGGCTTTCTTCTATGTAGACAAGCCCCCCGTCAGAATTCAGTCCTGCGTGTTGATGTCTGACTCCACTAGCAATTCATAGCAATTCATTGCGGAAGTGAGTGAACGCTGGCGCGACTTGCTGCCGCTGCTCGCCGCAAATCAACGATTATTGGCAAAACTGTGTGTGCACATGGTCTAGCTTCCACTTTCCTGCTCTCATCGACCACCTGAGTCTTACCTGTCGCTGTTCATCTGTCCAAGCTGCCGACTCTTCTCCTACAATGCCAATTAGCAGGATATACACCTGGGCTGTGCTTCTCTGGACTCTCCTGGCACTCCTTCAACAACCTGTTACGGGTCTGATCCAGTACTCTGCTGCTGAGCTCCTCCGGCTGCGGTTTCATCCATCTGCACTTCCCCGTGCTTCGCTATTCATCTCGGATGCAACTCTCCTACCACGCCGGAAATACATCCACCGCGGACTTCGCCGGAACATCCAAGAGGACACGTCGAAATCCATAAAATCCATCTGGTCTACTTCTCGTCGTCACCGGCGTGCCTCCAACCGGGTTGTTGACCGCAGCGTGCTAGCTTACCCGGCCCGGTCAGCTAACGCTCCTGCAATGTCTGATAACTCCTCCGTAAACTTCGGTCTGCTTAACGTCCGCTCACTTACGGGCAAGGGACATCTCATTCAGGATCTCCTCACTGACCGTAAGTTTGATTTTTTATGCCTGACTGAGACTTGGCAACAACCGAATGATTTCTCTCAGCTCAATGATTCTACTCCACCGGGGTTTGTTTACATCTGTCAACCCCGTGGCACCGGCCGGGGAGGAGGTCTCGCGATAATTCACCGCGAGAAATGGAAAGTCTCGCCGTTGTCTGCTCCCACCTTCTCCTCTTTTGAATCAGCTGTGTGTCAGCTCTATGGACCTACCCCCACCATCATTGCAACCATCTATCGCCCGCCGAAAACTAACAGTGACTTTCTGGATAACTTCGCTGCTCTTCTCACTCACCTGTCAATTCTCTCACCAAACATTATAGTATTGGGTGATTTTAATATTCACATGGACGATGGAAATAACCCACTGACTAAAGACTTTTCATCCTGCCTCCAGAGTTTTGGTCTTCAGCAGTTTATCAATGTTCCCACTCATTCTAAGGGTCATGTCCTGGATCTAGTCTGCTGTTCTGGTGTATCTCCCTCGGATTATACAGCAGATGAACTCGCCATAACTGACCATTTTCTCCTCTCATTCAATATCTGTCTCCCTCTCTCTATCACCAAGCTTCCTCGTCTCATCTCTTTCCGTAACATTAAGGATATTGATTTAAATTCTCTCTCCTCCGCCGTCAATTCTCTCATGGACAATCTATACTCAACTCTAGACTCAACCATCCTTGATGACTTGGTCTCATACTACAATACTGGTCTTCACTCAATACTCAACTCTCTTGCTCCGCTAAAAACCAGATCTGTCTCTTTTGTTCGCTCTGCGCACTGGTTTACTACAGAACTTCGGCTCATGAAGGCTAAAGGACGGCAACTTGAAAGGCTCCACCGGAAAACTGGACTGGTTGTACATAAAGACATTTACAAAACTCACATATTGCATTACAAGGACTGTATCAATCAAGCCAAATCCTCCTACTACACTTGTTTAATTGATTCAAATGAAGGCCCCACTAAGTCAATATTCTCCCTCTACAAGAACATCACCCAAACCCCGGACTCCCTACCTTCACATCTGTGTTCAACTGAATTTTGTAACTCCCTCATGTCATTTTTTGACAGTAAAATTGTTAAGATCCATCAGTATCTCAGCTCACAACCGACCCCTTGTCCTACTCGTGAACTTTCTCCTCCAGCCCACTCCTTCTCTTCCTTCGAACTCCCGACAACTTCAGAAATCATAAGCCTCATCAACAAGTCCAAGTTGTCCACCTGTTTGCTTGACCCTCTTCCAACAGTTCTGGTTAAAGCCTGTGCCCCATCTATACTCCCTCTCATTTCTGCCATTATTCACTCCTCTCTCTCCACCGGAACAGTTCCTGCATCTTTTAAAATTGCTGCCATAACCCCTATCCTGAAAAAACCTGGCGCTGATTACCGTAATCACAATAATTTCCGTCCTATCTCCAACTTGCCTTTTATCTCCAAGATTCTTGAAAAGACAGTTGCATCTCAACTCCATACTTACTTATCCAACAATAACCTGTATGAACTGTTTCAGTCTGGTTTTCGTCCCCTCCATAGTACAGAAACAGCTCTTATAAAAATCACCAATGACCTCCTCTTGGCAGCTGACTCCGGCTTGCTGTCCATCCTCATCCTCCTTGACCTGAGTGCAGCGTTTGACACCATTTGCCATGCCACCCTACTCAATAGACTTTCCTCTATCGGTATCACTCAGACTCCTCTAAACTGGTTTAAATCATATCTCTCCGGCCGCATTCAGTTCATCCGGATCAAAACCTTCACTTCCGAGCCTTCATCTGTCACATCAGGAGTTCCCCAGGGCTCTGTCCTGGGACCCCTCCTCTTCATTATTTATCTTCTTCCCCTCGGCACTATTTTCCACAAGCACAATATCGATTTCCACTGTTATGCGGATGACACCCAGCTCTATGTTTCCAGTAAGCCCGCCTCCAACCTCCCGCCATCCTCGCTTACCGACTGCTTGACTGAAATAAAATCCTGGTTCACCTCAAATTTTCTTAAACTTAACAGTGACAAAACAGAGGTTCTTCTCATTGGTACAAAATCCACCCTGGCTAAAACCAAAAATTTCAGTATTGACATTGATAACCGTTCCATTTCTCCCTCCCCTCAGGTAAAGAGTCTAGGTGTCATCCTCGACAGCACTCTTTCTTTCCAGTCTCATATCAACAACACCATCCGTTCGGCTTATTTTCACCTACGCAACATCAACCGCCTCCGCCCCTCCCTTACTCCCCATTCCACTGCCATCCTTGTTCACTGTCTGGTTACATCGCGCCTGGACTATTGCAACTCCCTTCTGTTCGGTCTCACCCACAAATCTCTTCATAAGCTCCAACTGGTCCAGAACTCAGCTGCCCGCATCATCACCAAAACCCCATCCATTCATCACATCACTCCAGTCCTGCAAAAACTCCACTGGCTGCCAACCAAGTTCCGCATAGATTACAAAATTCTCCTGTTCACTTTCAAGGCCCTCTACAATCTCTCCCCACCATATCTTTCAAATCTTATTCATATTGCCATTCCCTCTCGCTCCCTCAGATCATCCTCCTCCATCCTTTTGACTGTCCCCTCCGCCCGTCTCACCACCATGGGGAGCAGAGCCTTCAGTCGCTCTGCTCCCCGACTTTGGAACTCGTTACCACCTCACATTAGAAACATAAAGTCAATCTCACAATACAAATCAGAACTCAAAACACACCTTTTTAGATCTGCTTTTTCCACCTGACACAATTGGTTTTGCCTGATTTTATATTGATTTTATATTGATTTTATACATTGTCTTTTTTTCTTCCTTTCTTTTTCTTTTCTTTTCTTTTCATCTCTTAGTTTCTGTTACTGCTGATTTTATTCTTTGTACGGTGTCCTTGAGTGCCAGAAAGGCGCCTTTGAAATAAAATGTATTATTATTTATTATTACTCACGTGAAACTTCCAGGCGACTCCTCCATCTTTTCATGGCCGCTGCCCATGTACGACTGCCTGGTTATCTTGGTATTCACCCCCTCACCACTCGCTCACTTCTGCTCCAGTCTTGATTGCTACTGCCTTCAGGTGCTTCAATTCTAGGCTGCCTAAATAAGGACAATCCATCCATCCATTTTTTTAATGAAAGTAAATTAAACTGATCCAGATGACATAATATAAACTTTTTCCTTAAATTGAGCTGTCTTTTCGACATTTTGATCGCTGTTATTTTTGACAAATTAGCACTGTTGTTTTGATATGGGATGTAATGTGAATAATACACATCAAACATTTTTCTCATTGTATTTTTAATAATAAAATTTTATTAGTTAACATGATCCTCAGGTTTTAGACCCATAGGCAGGCAGACAAGTCGAGCAGGAGTTAAAATAAAAATGATTTAGTTAAACAAAAAAACAAAAGGCTGACGAGGCAGCAAAAAGTTACAGTAATCAGGGCGAACAGGATCAAGATGGATGGATAATTGGACAGAAACGGGTTCAAATGAAAACCGAGGAGGACCGGGTCATGTGTGTGCATAAAAGAACAATGAGCAGACATTTTAGTGGTGAAGAGGAGAGGTTTAAATAAAAAAGAGGTAGGGTGAGTAATGAGTGCACCTGGGAGGGTTGCTGAATAGAGACAGGTGTGATTAGAGACGGGTGCGATTAGAGACAGGTGTGATTAGAGACGGGTGCAATTAGAGATGGGTGTGATTAGAGACAGGTGTGATTAGAGATGGGTGCGATTAGAGACGGGTGCGATTAGAGACGGGTGCGATTACAGA